GGCGGGGCGGACACTGGATATCGTGGGAGGGCCTGAGCTGGCCCTGGAGGAGGGTGGAGAGAAGGAAGAGGAGCCATCCAGGGTGATGCCCTTTAAAGATCCAGAGGAGAAGGCGGTGTCAAGGAGGACCCCCGACACAGGGAAACTGGGAGGGTGGTGAGAGAGGAGGGTGGGAGCTGGGTGACGGGAGAAGGTGCTGCAAGGTGGGAGAGAAGGCAGCTGGGTGGGGAGGCCCAGCTCCCAGCCTCCCAGGATGCTCGCCCTCCAGGGAGGGAGACGGAGCAGGGCTGCAGCGTGGAGCCAGCTCCATCCTGCCGACCTTTCAGGAATGGCTTGGACAAAAGCAGAATGCCGCAGGGCTGAGAGGAAGCAGGATTGTACGGTCCTTCCCCCCGACTCCGTGTGCTCTGCCCGCCTTTTGTCAGTGGAGAAACTTTAGCCAAAGATTAAACCAGAGAAGTGAGAAAATGCAGAAACAAAGGAGAACAGTCTAACGAGACTAAATAATTGTTTAGTCATTAAGCATAGTCAAGGACCTTTAGTTCCTCCCCAAGGGCTACAGATAATATTCTGAGCCGCACGTATCCTGTGAGGTGTCTTATAGGTACCGAAACCCCCGCCAGGTGGAAGTAGTGAACTACATGATGACCAGACTGTAGCCACGACCTAAGCTGCTACAATTCCAAGAATTGGCCTCAAGGAAATGGGAGCAAACTGACCCTGGAACTAAAGAGCGATTGTAGTTAAAACAATCGAGACGACGCTGGTCAGACCACCAAGGACCAATTTCAAGATGGCCTTCAGAGCTGCCTGTGCTGTTTCTGCATGGAGCCCCCTCCCTCTGTCTATAAAAGCTCTTGCGCCCTGGTTGTCATTGTGGGGGGAGGGAGTCGGCCTTTGGACAGGCGTCCACCCTCCCCCACCCCCAGCTGCCGGCGTCCAAAATAAAGCAAACTATCCTTTCCACCATCCTTTTGAGCTTGGCTTTTGAGCGGCAAGTAGCCGGACCCCAATTTCGGTTACAGGGCTGCTGTTGAATGTAATCCCTTTAATTTACTTTTACTTCTGTTCTTCATGGGATTGTGTGTCTGACTGAATGTTTTCGAGTTAGTGGGGAAATAGACATTTCACAGAAATTTGCTTTGTGGCCAATTTTGCAGGTGGCATCCATATCAGAGAGTGACAGAGGATACTCCAGTCTGGTTTGTGTCCTTTTGTTTATCTCTGAGAGGGCCAATCAATGCCCATTTCCAGGAGGTTATTGGGACCAATTAGTTAGCTTTATTGGTTTTGCTTGCACAGGGAAACCATGTAATACGGATATTTTTGATCAAGTCTGTTCAGGCATCCGTTTCATTTTGCGGGGAAGTTTCATTTTGCCTTACGCAGCGTCAGCCAAATGGAATTTTGTTCAGTGGGAACCCTATTTCTCTGTAGATATTTTCACGATTGAAGCTGTCTTCTTTTATGATGTATTACTCAGCGAATTGAAGGAAAACTTGTTGAGAAAAGACTGGTCTAGAGAAATGAACACGTGTGCCCACATAAAAACTGTACCACCATGTTCGTAGCAGCGCTGTTGACAACAGCCCAAAAGTGGTGACAACCCAAATGTCCATCAGCTGGGGAATGAATCCGTAAAACGCGTCTCTCCATACGACGGATTCAGCTGTAAGAAGGAACGAGGTCCTGACACGTGCTACAACTTGGGTGAACCTTGAAAACATCATGATACGTGAAAGAAGCCAGAGACAAAAGATCACGTATGACGTAATTCCTTTCGTATGACGTATCCAGAACAGGCAAATCCATGGAGAAGATGCTTTTGTGGTTGAGAGGAGGTGGGGGAGGGTAGAAGGGGGAGTGACTGCCGACAATACAGGGCTTCCTTGTGGGGTGATGGAAATGTGCTTCAGTGCGTTATGGTGATGGTTGCACAACTTTGTGAGTATACTAAACAACTGTGTGGAATGTAAGTTCTATCTCAGTAAAGCCTTGAAAAAATTAGGGTGCCGCTGGGAGCAGGCTCTCAGAGCTTGTCAGTAACAGCCCCTCTGGATCCCCTTCGGTCCACAGCTCTAGGCTCAGGGCTCTCAGGGATGGTTTTAGTGCAGATATTAAGGGAGGGAGGGGGGTGGACGTTTTATGGCTCACCTGTGCTGTCTTGGGCCGTGGGGGGCGGTGTTACTGACCTTTCCTCATTTGACCCGCCCGCCTGCATATGCCATGGTGAACATCATCATTTCCTCTGGCTGAGTTCCCACACGTACCCAAGTCCCCGCTGGGAGGAGGCCAGTCTGCCCATGGTGCCGCCCTCCACCAGTCCTCCTGTGAATCCCACGGGAGCCCCAGCAGCCAGCGGGGGAGAAGCGTGCCCATCCCCTCGGGCTCTCCTGGCCCCTGCACTGGGGGTGTCTCGGTGTCCAGCAGCTCTCCGTTCCTGCGCTTGCTCTGGTCATCGCCTGGGCCCTCCTGGCACCAGCGAGCGAGGCCGTAACGCCTGTCCACCCCGCAGGTTCTCATCGACTGGGTCAACGACGTGCTGGTGGGGGAGAGAATCATCGTAAAGCAGCTGGAGGAGGACCTGTACGACGGGCAGGTGCTGCAGAACCTCCTGGGTGAGTCCACGGGAAGGGCGGCCACCACGAGGGGTGGCCCCAGGCTGGACCACAAGATTCTCTACGTGGCGACATCGGTCACTCGTCTGTAAGCCGCAGCCCTGAGCCTATGGCTCCCAGGTGGTGGCCCCTGGGGCCCCCGGTCACCTGCCCTCTCGTCGTCTCTCAGGTGCGGGTCCCGCCGGAGCTCCCAGTCATGGGGCTGCAGTGGGTCATGCACAGCTTCCAGAACCGTCTGTGGCCTCTGCTGTTGGATGCATGCGTACAAGGGGAGCGCGGAGATGGGGCACGAACGGGATGCCGTCTCCTCTCTGGGGCAGCCCTCCCTGCTGGCCTGCGCCCGTCCAGCTGTGAGCACCTCCAGCTTGTGCAGGCCCATCCGGGGCCAGGGTGCTAGCGGGGGTGGCCCCCAGCCTTGCCCTTCAGGGGCACGATTTAGATGGGGCGTGGAGGGGGAGTGGCGAGGAGGGAGACTGACTGCGGATGCTCTTTTTATGTCTGTCCCCTGTGGACAGAGTTCCTCAGCAAAGTAACATCTGTAGAGCCCTTAGCATGGGGCCGGGCACAGGGCCTGGAGTCAGTAAGGGGTAATGAACAACAACACAACAAAGACAAAGACAGAGATGAAGAGTGCAAGCAGGGCTGGTGGGTCCCCCGAGTTCCTCTGAGCACCGGGCACACGGCAACCATGCGTTGACCGAGTGAGTGAAGAAAGCCCTGCCGTTTCCTACCTGCAAGGACGTGGACTCCTTTTATAGGAAGTGAAAAGGCCCTGGATAGGGTCCCCAGATCCCTGTGAGTGTGGCCCGGCAGACTCAGTGTCCCCTTGTCCGTTAGGATAACTCACCTCCTAAAGGTCCCCGGGAGGCCCAGCATTGGTGGGGTGCAGACCTGCTCCCTGGGCTCTTTCTACGCACGCTCTTCACCTCTTAATGACCCCACGGACCAGAGCTGTCCTGTGCAAGGGTCTTCCCAGCAGACCGCCTGGAGGGCCACTCCTTCCAGGCAGGGCCAGCACTGGGGTGGGATCATGTTTTGCTCCACAGGGGTGTGCTAGGGAACCTGGTTCAGGCACCTGGAGTTTGGGGGGGTGCTGTTGTGGGGGGGAGACACTGAGGGAAAGCAGACAGGAGGGGCTGGGGCTGGAGAGGGGCATCCCGGGGAGGGCTGGCCCGCAGGACGCACCCCTGCAGCTTCCCAGATCGTGGCCTGGCTCAGCCTCTGTGTCATTCTCAGTCCCGGGTCCCTGTGGGCAGTTTGCACACTCAGCACAAGGGCTCTTAACAGACGGTCCGATCTTGGAGGAAAACCTGCAGGGTCTTGTCACATAGACCTGGCTCTGAGGACATGGTGATGGATGTGGCCCACACGTTGTCTTGTCCTTGTTCAGTCGGTCCTCAAAAAGCACGTTAGCAGGAGAAGATTTGGGGTTTATTTTGGTTATATCCCGTCGTTGGTTGAATGAATATCCTTTGGCCTATTGTGTGGCAGGTGTGGAGATGCAGTGGTGACAGGAAGAAGGAAGTCCCCATGCCCCACTGCCGACACCCGTTCTGGCAGAGGGGAGAAAGAGAACTATTGTGTGGTGGTTCAACCTGAAACACGAATAGATGCTCTAAGAGAGGGACAAGCGCTAGGGAGGGAATCAGCGAGGTTCTGGGGCAGCGGGGCTGGGTCGGGTGGAAGGACCGGGCGGTCAGGGGCAGCCCCCCTGGGGAGCTGACAATCCAAGCAGGCTTCTGCACAGTTTTCATGGAAAGAACATTCCAGGCTGAGACTCTGCAGAGAGGAAGAGTCTGCAGTGTTTAAAGAGCAGTGAAAGGTGGCTGCCAGGTGGCCGGGGTGGACAGATGGGGCCAGATCACATCCAGTCCTGACAAAGGCTTTTATTCCAAGTGACAGGAAGCCGCTAGAGGATTTGAGCAGGGCCGTGACAAGGTCTGAGTTACCGTTTTAAAAGGTTGCTTGGGCTTCGGGGTACAGAATGAATGGGGAGGCGGGTCAGGAGGGGGACCTGGGAGGTTAGTCAGGGCGCTGTCACAGCAGCCCGGGCATCAGAGGAAGTGGCTTGGTCCAGGATGGAAGTGGAGGATATGTGGGAGGTTAAAGCTGGTAGAGGCATGAAGACTGCTGGCCAGGGTTGTGGCCTGAGCAGCTGGTGAGTGAGACAGCCCTTGGGAGTGGCGTGGTGGGCGGGGATGAGGAGGTGGGTGTTGCATCTGCTAGTAGGGCTGATACCCATCCTGCCCGCTCAGCTGCGGGGTGAGGGTGGAGACCAGCAGTGCAAGAGATGGTTAATGCCGTGGGCCCGGGTGGCCTCACCCGGAGGGGATGTTCCAAATTCAGTGTTTGGCTGAATGCCGTGGGCCAAGAATTAAATAAATCTCTGTTCATCTAAGCTGAGAACCCCCATCTTAAAATGAACTCCTTTAGTACAAGAATAAATCTGAAATGTTATCAAGATCGTTTAGTAACTGTCACAATTTTATTACTAAAAATGTTGGTTGGGGCTTCCCTGGTGGCGCAGTGGTTGAGAATCTGCCTGCCAGGGTTCGATCCCTGGTCTGGGAGGATCCCACATGCCGCGGAGCAGCTAGGCCCGTGAGCCACAACTACTGAGCCTGCGCGTCTGGAGCCTGTGCTCCGCAGCAAGAGAGGCCGCGACAGTGAGAGGCCCGCGCACCGCAATGAAGAGTGGCCCCCGCTCGCCGCAACTAGAGAAAGCCCTCGTGCAGAAACAAAGACCCAACACACCCAAAAGTAAAAAGAATAAAAAAATTTTTTAAATCTTTAAAAAGAAAATGTTGGTTGGAGCTTTGTTGTTTCATAGTGTATCATTGGTCCAGCCACTCTCAGCACTGTCAGGTGCTAGATTGCTCTCGAGGTCACCGAACCAGACATTTGTGATGACAGACACTTACTTTCAGCAGAGAAGGATGGAGGAGGCATGGCTCTTAGGCTGGCACTGTCCACAAGGATTCTACCGATGGTGAAGCTGTCCTGGGTTATCAGCTTCCCTCCCTCTCTCTGTAAAGACCTAGCTTCCCTCTGACTCTTGGACTTGAAGACTTGGCTGTTGGTGACAATGCTTGTTTGTTGAAACAGTCCTTTGAACTGCTGCTTTGCTCACTGCCCAAAGGAGATACTTTCTGATATTTTCAGAAGCAAACATAAGAGTGTTGTGCTCACGTACACTTTTATTATACAAGTTTTCAGTCACTTGAAAAACTTGTATCCCTAAGCCTTAGATCTAGTGATGTGGTCGTGGAAGTCTGTCTCTCAGGATCACAAGATCGGCTCTGGATGTGCATCTGCATCTCAGCCTTAGACGCCTATAAATGACGCCAGTGCCCTCTCTGGAGTAGAGTGTCAGGGGTATCTTAGAGCCAGTAGTACCCTGTAAGAAAGCCTTGCCTGCTCAAGGCACATCCTTTTGGTCCCCTCTTCAGTTGGCCCCAGCAGATGCGGTACTTGCTCTGCAGTGGCTGTGGTTGTCACTGAGTCCTGCTACATCCGCTTTGTTATCTGTGAGGTCTAACAAGAGGCTGACTTTGGCTCAGGCGGCCTTTTTAGCGTGAATTAGTTGCAGTTCCACCCCGTTTGAATATCTTGCGTAATTACTCCTAGAGAGGCAATTCTGAAGTCTCTTGTGTGTCACGTGCTTTGACATATACCACTTTGTTTGAAGAAGAGAACAATGGAAGAGAATATCCCGATACTAACAGAACGTCACAGGGTCTTGCCTGGTCGTATTAATGATGTGCTGTGACCCTGATGAGATGCATTAGTAACCTACGTGATCACGTGATCCTGGGGCCCAGGGCTGCCAGGAATGATACTGATGGAGGCATTCGGCTCTTTACTTTTCAAAGGCAGAAGCTAAAACGAAATAGGAGATTTTGGCTGAATGCCAGGCCAAAGCTGACTCCTGTGCATCTGTAGAGAGAAGAGGTCTGGGGACTGGGCCCCGGGGTGGGGGTGGGGTGGTCAGTGGTCAGAGGAAGGGCCAGCACAGGCGCCTGGAGGGTCCAGCCAGGAGAGAGGAGGAGCCAGGCAGGAGTGAGGGCGATGAGGACAGAGCACAGACCTCTGGGTTTGGCCAGCTGTGAGTCACTACACTAGTAGGCCCCCAGATGTGCCCCTCTCCTTAAGAGCAGATTCCGGGGGCAGCTGCCAGACCCTCTGCCAGGGCAAGTTTCAGGGGGCGTAACTCTCCTGCATTTGCAGTGTTGTCCAGGTGAGCCACCTGTGGGCAGTGACAATGCCCACGCTGGAGCATTGAGGCAGCTCCCGGGCTGACTGTTGTCCTGCTTCTGACTCATGGCACACACTTCTCCTCGTGAAAGGCAAGCCCTTCCTTGTGTAGTAAGTGTTCACAGCCCCGCATTCGGCCATCACTCAAATTTTCCAGCCACCGCTGAGAATCCGCCCCATCTTCCTCTGTCTGTTTCCATGCTAGGAAGATAGGGGTCCTGGCCATGCCAAAACACTGAGCTGCCCCTACAGTCCCATCAGCGGGCAGAGTGATGCTGGTGATGAGGGCGGCCCAGGACCTCGTTCTCTCCCACTTGGGGGAGTTACCTGAGACGCAGCCACAGGCGGCACCCAGGCACGGCCAGACTCCTTGGTTTCTGTTATCGGCTGAGTTGCGTCCCCCCCAGAATTCGTAAGACCTCGGGATGTGACTATATTTGGAGACAGAGTTTTTAAAGTTAAAATGAAGTTAGGGTGGGCCCTCAACCTGTCAGATTGGTGCCCTTATAAGAAGAGGAGGGCTTCCCTGGTGGCGCAGTGGTTAAGACTCCGCCTGCCAATGCAGGGGACACGGGTTCGAGCCCTGGTCCGGGAAGATCCCACATGCTGCAGAGAAACTAAGCCCGTGCGCCACAATGACTGAGCCTGCGCTCTAGAGCCCGTGAGCCACAACTACGAAGCCCATGTGCCACAACTACTGAAGCCCAAGCGCCTAGAGCCGCAACAAGAGAAGCCACCGCGGTGAGAAGCCCGCGCACCACAACGAAGAGTAGCCCTGGCTCGCCGCAACTAGAGAAAGCCCGCGCGCAGCAACAAAGACCCAACACAGCCAAAAAAAAAAGAGACTAGGATGCAGACACACACAGAGGGAAGACCAGCTGAGGATGTCTACAAGCCTAGGAGAGAGGCCTCAGGGGAGACCAACTCTGCTGACACCTTGATCTTGGACTTCTGACGTCCGGGACTGTGAGAAAGCAAATTTCCACCGTTTAAGCCACCCGCCCTGCGGAACTTTGTTACGGCAGCTGTAGCAGGCCGACACCGTTTCCTTCCCTTCTCCGTGCACGACTCCTCCTCCCCCTGGTGTCATGGCAACCAGGTTTGGCTGGCGGCAGGGACAGCAGAGATGTGCCGGGCTCCCCGTCTCTCCCAGCGGGCGAGGCTCTAGGACCACCTGGCTCTCTGCAACCCTCCTTCCTTCCCCAGGGGCCCCTGCTCTGTCCTGTCGCTGGCTTTTGAGCACCTGGGGACCTGCTATGTATTTTCGGGGGGGGGGTTCATATGGGCAGATAGCTGTGGATTATTCAGCTAAGACGTATTAGAAACAGATGGAGGGAAATCAAAACGCATAAACAGGAATCATTTCCATCCTCTGCTGAGCTGCTTTGTTTTGCCGCGAGCACTCCCTGCCCCCCAAGCTGAGGTTCTTCAGGTGTGGCTGACTCCCCACTAGAGCCCTGTCTCTCGTGTCTGTGCTGCATCTGGTCCTAGGACAGTGCCTGGTGCACAGTAGGTGCTCAGTAACTGTTTTGTAAGCGAATGAATGAATGAATGAATGAATGATTGGACTACCCTGAGCCCAGCCGATATTTTTGTGTAATGAGAGGATCCTGTAGGGGGGATATCGAAACTGCTTGTTCTCGTTCTCATCGAGGGAGGGGAGGATGGGGGAGACAGAGTTGATGGAGCAGGGGCCTCCGGAGAAAACGCCTTGCTGGGGAGTGCTGGCAGCAGCTCTGTGCCGGAGGCTCACAGCGCGTCAGGCTCCATGCCCAGCACTTTGTCATCACCCTCCCGGTTCCTGATCTCGCCGTGTCCTGCGACGTGGCTTCTGTTGTTGTGCAGAGGAGATCTATCGGGGAACCCCGAGTCTTGGAATGAATGAATAGGCGGTACGCCTGGGGAGCCTTCCTCGCCTGCCCCTTAGCGAGTGTGGGGTGAGGCATCCCTCCTACTCCGCACGGGCTGGGGCTGGGATTCAGCTTCAGTAACTGAATCTTGAGCAGATGTGACCGTGCTCGTCAGCTCCTCCAGATTGCTCCCCGCTCACTCTTGGTGAGAAAATTGTCACAGGTCTCTGAATATCTCATAATCCTTCTTACCGTGGGGTCCAGCTGTTAGAGAAAGAAGAGCTGGGAGCGAACGAGTGCAGGGAGGCTGAGGCAACCCCTGAGGCCCTTTCTACTTTCTTACCAAAGTTCTCTTCCCTCTGGGAACCCACTGGCCCAACCTCTTCACCTCCAGTCCCTTCCCCGCAGGTCACCTCCTTACCTCCCAGCTGCACCTTGAATCATCTTGTTCATTCTCTGTGCATATGCTGTTCCTGGGTGGGACACCCACACTTTAATCCTTGAACTCCCCGCCCCCCTTTCATCCTGGAGTGATTTTCTTTCTTTCTTTCTTTTTTTAAAAAGAATTTTATTTATTTTTGGCTGCATCGGGTCTTCGTTGCTGCGCGCGGGCTTTCTCTAGTTGCGGCGAGCGGGGGCTACTCTTCGTTGTGGTGCGTGGGCTTCTCATGGCGGTGGCTTCTCTTGTTGCGGAGCACGGGCTCTAGGTGCGCGGGCTTCAGTAGTTGTGGCGCATGGGTTCAGTAGTTGTGGTGCACGGGCTTAGTTGCCCCACGGCATGTAGGATCTTCCCAGACCAGGGCTCGAGCCCGTGTCCCCTGCATTGGCAGGCGGATTTTTAACCACTGCACCACCAGGGGAAGCCCCCCTGGAGTGATTTTTTTCTAAGAGGAGTGACTTGAAAGTTCAGAGTTCCGTGGCTCAGCATCCTGGCAGTCCCCACTGTTGGCGATGACCTGCTCCACTCTGCAGCCCCACAGAGGATGGGGAGACCTCAATGCAGCCGGTTGACCAGGCGGCCCTGAGCCCCTCCAGCTTTTCCTTACACTCTGCCTTTTGCCCTTGTCCTTCTTGTTGCAGAAAAACTGGCAGACTGCAAGCTGAACGTGGCCGAGGTGACTCAGTCCGAAATAGGGCAGAAGCAGAAGCTACAGACTGTGCTTCAGGCGGTGCAGGAGCTGCTGCGGCCCCATGGCCGGGCGCTCCAGTGGACCGTGGACAGTGAGTGGCCGCCAGGTTGGGGGAGGGGAGCCCGGCCTCTGAGCTTCCTGCCGTGTCATTCGTCTTCTCGTCTGGCCTTGTGGGGTTTTTTTTTTGACATCTTTCTTGGAGCATAATTGCTTTACCATGGTGTGTTAGTTTCCGCTGTACAACAAAGGGAATCAGCCATATGCATCCGTATATCCCCATACCCTCTCCCTCTCGCGTCTCCCTCCCACCTCCCATCCCACCCCTCTGGGCGGTCACGGAGCGCCGGACTGATGTCCCTGTGCCGTGCGGCCGCTTCCCACTAGCCATCCGTTTTACGTTTGGTAGCGCGTGTATCAAATCCGGTCGCACGCCTGCCCTGAGGGAGGTAACCAGGAGAGGAGTGTGTCAGTAAGGGACTTAGTCACGCGCGCAGTGCTCTGGTTTCCCCAGGCTTCAGGGCGGAGAGGCACCGTTTCTGGATCCAGAGAGACTTCCAGCGGGAGTCTTCCAGATTTGGGTTCTAAGACAGAATAAGCTCTGTGGGGTTTTGGGAAGGACCCTCCACCCCGGGTACCGATGGCACCAACACCCAGTGAGCTGTGCTGCTGGTGACTCACCGATGCGGGTCCTCAGAAGGCGATTCAGGCCGACCCCCGGTGTATGTCTCAGAGAGCACCGGCGTTAGGAATACGTGGCATCACAGTATTTCCAGGCAGGACATAAACCCAGAAAAGTGAGGCACTGACCAGGACAGACTGGAAGGGGCTTTTGCCCTGCTGTCCTTCCCCAGCACCGTCCCCACGGCAGGGCCGCCAGGGGCGGCTGAGATGCTCTCCCTGCCGCCAAGGGCCCCTGTTCTTGGGTGAGACCAAGGCTGCAGTCAGGTTCACCCCTGGCTTCTTGGCATCGAGACCTAGGACAGACCCAGGCCCACCGCCTGGGTTGCAGGGCTGGGGGAGGGGAATCAGTAAAGCCCTGGACAGCATGATGATAACCGTCCACATCCTGGAGAAAAGCTCGTGGCCGGGGCTGGCAACCAGGGCCCTAGGTGGGGCAGGAGGCACGTCTAACAGCCCCAGGCACCGTCTGCCCCGCACCCGAGATAATAATGCACATTGTTGTGGTGGGTAAGTGCCCAGGTGCCCTGTTTTTCCCGGTCTTTTCGCTTCTCTTGTGCTGACTGTATCCTCCTGCTCATTCCCTCTCTTCACCACCCAGTTCATTCCTTTTACAGACAACATGCTTTTGAAAGTGCTTGCATAAGTCACCTGAGGTCAACAGGAAAGAAAACATGAGAAGCCGGCACTAAATTCACCCAGGCTGCTCGTCAGCTTTTCTCCGTTTTTCCGTGGCCTATGCTTCTGCCCGTGGTTTTCCTCTGAGGTCTCATTTTCACTCAGTATCTTTATTGCCTCCCCCCTCCCGCCCCCCTTTTTTCTTTTTAAATTCAAGTATAGTTGATTTACAATGTTGTGTTAGTTTCAGATGTACAGCAAAGTGATTCAGTTATACACATATATATATATATATTATTTTTTTTCAGGTTCTTTCTCCTTATAGGTTATTACAAAATACTGAGTATAGTTCCCCATGCTATACAGTAGGTCCTTGTTGGTTTCACTGCCTTTTGGACGTGGGCTCGGGGTTCCTGTCTCATGATCTAAAGCAGCCTCCTTCCTCCCTCCCCGACTAGCGATTCACGGGAAGAACCTGGTGGCCATCCTCCACCTCCTCGTGGCCCTGGCCATGCACTTCCGGGCCCCGATCCGCCTTCCCGAACACGTCTCCGTGCAGGTGGTGGTCATACGGGTAAGTATCGCCAGCCCCGCGGTCGGCTTGCCCGCGGCTCTGCCCCAGAGGCTCCGGTTCTCGTTCCTCCTCTAGTTTGCCTGCTTTCTTCTTTTTCCCCTTAAGAGACTACCTTCTCTTTTTTCCTCTTGACGAAATGTATGCCTTACTCTGGCTTCAGAGTAAATGATGGAGCAGAAACAGTGGCGTTGATCTGAAGAGAGGCAGATTCAAAGGCGTGAGTGCGTGGAGGTTTACTTTTCCACATTTTGCAAAAGAGCATTCATTTCCCTGCAGAGCCAAGTAGCCGGGATTCAGGCCTGTTGAATGAGCTTACTACTCACTGGAGAGGGCTGAGACCAGTGGAATGAAACAGATACCCCAGTACCCCAATCAAAGCCTCTCTCTGTTCCCTCCCAATTACACCCATCATCCCCCATCATGTTTTTGAGGGTCGACTCTCTTGCTCCACTTGGAAAAATGTACCTGGGAGCCAGGGTCCTTCTGACAGAGGTGGAAACACCTTTCTTGTCGATTTCCCCTGCGTTCAGGGGCACAGATCCTGCCTTGGCTTTGTGTGTGCAGTCTTGTCCAGTAAACGTGTATTAAGCACCTGCTGTGTCCCTGTTTCCCTCGCCCTGGTTACCGGGGGCACTGGATGAGGAAAGTGCGCTCGGGTCCTGAAGGATCTGCTGCTTCTGCCAGAGCGCTGAGGTTACGCTCGGAACATGGATGTCTCTCGTGTTTCCGTTCCTGGAGGTGTCCAGCTCCACACTCTCCTCTGGTTTTTAAACTTACCAGTCCCGTGGTCTCTGCGGTCTGCAAGGCTCTGGCTGATCCTGTGTTTTCCGAAGCCGTCTGACCCCTCCGTTTACCCCGGGAGCTTGGCTCCTACCTGATGGGCAGGAATGTTCCTTTCTGGCATCAGGCGAGGGTTACCTGCCGTTTGGCCCCGTTTGCCTCCTAAAGGGGAATGTTTGTGGTCGGTGGTGGTGTCAGGGACAGGGGACCATTCCTGCCACCCTCGTCTTGGACTCAGGATGGTCGGCCGGGAAAGGCTTCCCAAGGACACGTGAGCATATGGTTCCCAAACCCATGTACGTCAGACTCTGAGCCCTAGGAACACTCTGCAGCTCAGTAATTGGGGTATTTCCTTTCAGGCCTGCACTTTGGTCCAAGAAAATTTTTGGGGTTTGCAGAACGTTCTACTCGCCCGGGCAAACACTCGCTGGCGCTTCCTTCCTTGACCAAGGTCACAGGAGGACTCTTTGGGCCACTCCCAGAGTGGGATGAAGCGGGGAGGGGAGGCCCCCGGCGTCTGGCTGGTCTCAGGTCTTAGAGCTGCCCCTGGCCTGTTCCTCTGCGCCTGGTTATCCAGTTGAGATGGGGAGATGTAAGAAGTGTGTCAGTTCGTGGAGGGATGGAGTGAGGGAAGGGTCGCGTTTGCTACCTGGCAGTGTGGCCTTGGGAAATCACTTGATTTTCCTGAGCTGCAGTGCTTTCCTCAAAAAACTGAGATTCTACTACAGACTTTTAAAATATTCAGCCTTGGGACTTCCCTGGTGGCACAGTGGTTAAGAATCCACCCGCCAATTCAGGGGACATGGGTTCGATCCCTGGTCTGGGAAGATCCCACATGCCCCGGCGCAACTAAGCCCTCGTGCCGCAACTACTGAAGCCCGAGCGCCTAGAGCCCGTGCTCCACAACGAGAGGAGCCACTGCTATGAGAAGCCCGCACCGCCGCAGCTAGAGAAAGCCTGCACGCAGCAACGAAGACCCAACGCAGCCAAAACTAAATTAATTAATTAATTAAAAATATTCAGCCTTGTCTGCCCCATACCCAGCCCTGGGCCCGGTATCTAGTGGGTGCCTGATGCACATGTGATGTGTGAATAAGTGGATAAAATGTCTCCGGGCCTCCCCCGCCACCGTCCCCCGTGGGCACTCCTGAGAATCAGCCAGGGTGAGGCCGTGGGAAAGCTGATGGGCCCCGACGCCTGGCTACTCTTCCTTCACTAGAACCAGTGGTGAGAGTTCCCTGGGAGACCGAGCTCAGGAAAGCTTGGGGATCTTGGATCTCGAGAGGCGTCCAGGTGGGCTGCCCAGCAGGTAGCGAGCTCCCCCGTCCCTTGAGGCGTTCAGGCAGGGGCTCACGGTGGCGGCTGGGTTAGCAGGCTGCCGCGCTCCACCCTGAGGTCCGGGGCACAGCACCGCCGCCTCCTTCCCCTTCCCCACCATCGTTGCCTCTCCGTACCCACCGGGCTCCGGGACAGCTGTGTCACACACCGTGTTAGTGTCCTAGGGCTGCTGTAACAAAATCCCACAAACTGGGTGGCTTAGAACAACAGATGTTTGTCCTCTCACATAACAGAAGCCTGGGCTTCCCTGCTGGCGCAGTGGTTGAGGGTCTGCCTGCTGATGCAGGGGACGCGGGTTCGTGCCCCGGTCCGGGAAGATCCCACGTGCCGCCGAGCGGCTGGGCCCGTGAGCCGTGGCCGCTGAGCCTGCGCGTCCGGAGCCTGTGCTCCGCAACGGGAGAGGCCACAGCAGTGAGAGGCCCGCGTACCGCAAAAAGCAAAAAAACAAAAACATAATAGAGGCCTGAAGTCCGAATCAGGGAATCGACAGGGCCCCTCCGCAGGCTCTAGAGGAGGGTCCTTCCTTCCCGCCTCCAGCTTCTGCCGGCTGCCGGCACCCTCGGCTGTCCTGGGCTTGTGGACAGATCCCTGCAGTCTCTGTCTTCATCATCACGCGGCCTCCTCCCTCTGGTCCGTGTTCCTATGTCTCTCTTTTCTCTTCTAAGGACACCAGTCACTGGGGAGGACCCACCCTAGTCCGTTATGACCTTATCTGAACTCATTACATCTGCGAAGACCCTATTTCCAAATGAGGCCCCATTCTGAGGTTCTGAATGGACGTGACTTCCGGGGGGACCCTGTTCAACCCAGTGCACGTGTGTCGTTTCAGCCGATGCCTCCCTTGTGTCCCTTCATACTCTTGACCTTTCCCAGCTGCAGGGCGTCGAGGAGTTCTTTGGGAGCGGAGATGTTTCTCCTGAGACCTCCTACAGCTGCCAGCTCTCAGAGGGCAGGAGAGCAGGGGGGGCGGGGGTGGGGCAGGTTCCAGCCACCAAAGGGTCACCCGTGTGGTCCCCTGCAGTCCACGCCCCGAGCATAGCTCGGGTGTGGTGCTGAACCTTTGTTTAGTTCTCTGTTGTCCCCAGGCTGGCCTCCCGGCCCCGGGGCCATCTGTCCACGGCCTCAGCTGCCCGCCTGCTCTGTCTGTCTGCCCAGGTGTTGATTTATTTGTTCATTTTGGGGTTTTCAGAAGCGGGAAGGCCTGCTGCACTCCAGCCACGTCACGGAGGAGCTGACCACGACCACCGAGTAAGTGGACCCGCTGCTCTGCCCTCAGGCCCTCCTCCAGCCGGGGACCCGCACACACAGGGGGCGTTTTCCCCTCCCTGTCCCTTGACCTTGAGATGGGATTTTATCGCATGCGTCCACCCTAGCTTTCTATCCTCCGTGCACTTGCTTCAAAGTTTGTTTTGTTTTTGTTTTGCTGAGGAAGGGCCAGATAGCAGTTTGGTTTGGTATTTAAATGAGAAATTCTAGATCTTTTATTTCTTCCCAAATGAGCAAATACGTGTGACATAGGAATTAGAACTTACTTACGCTGCCTGAAATCTTTTCTGGAAAGAGACAGGGAATAATAAACAAGAAAAATATAACTGAGCACATCCAGAATCTCTTATAAGGAAGAAAAGGATGAGGGGAAATTTAAAACAGCGAACTTTCATATGGTAGGTATGTTAAACGCTTCAAAGTTTTTAATGTTGGAACTAAGTTACTCTCCAAAGACTTTGGACTGTCATTCCTTATTTTGGAAGGTGAGCTTTAAGAATGTTGAGAGAGGGGTGGGGGAGAGGTGTTTAGATTGGTCCAAGGGACGTGTTGTCCTGATTCATTTAGCCGTCTGTCTTAGCCCCGTCAGGGGGAGGGAGCCATGCCTCTAAACTAGAATCTTCCTTTGATGAGATAGTCCCGAGCCATCCCTTGCCTCTTAGAGAAGGCCAGAGGGCAATTTTTAAGAAGTCTAAAAGGCTGCAGATCTGTTGAAAATAGCAGATCAGATGGCTCTGTTTCGCGTGTGGTTTTTAGGAGGCATACCCTGTAAAGTATCCTTAAAATTCACTGCCTTTGTGCCTCCCGACTAAACCTGTTTCAGATGAAACAGAGCATTAAAAATGGATCGTCTCAGCTCACCCACCTGCTCAGTTCACAGAGTGATTAATTACTGTGTCATGAATTCATGTATGGTCTTTCAAAAAGCGAGCTGACACAGGAAACCGCTCCTGGCGTGGGAGCTGTCAGGTAGATGGGAGAGACGTGTGGCCTGGCGTGCGGCCTGACGTGTGCACACATCTGCTGCAGGCCCACGGAAGGGGGAGTGGGAGGGGTAAGTGGTGCTGAGCCTGGCACGGGGGGCCTCGGGCAGCCCGCTCAGCCCATTCAAGAGCAGGAGGAGGGCGGCTTGGGGGAGTCAGGGGCGCACTGGCATCTTACCCATCATTGTGTGACAAACCACCCGACCCAAGGGGCTTAAAACATCGGTCATTTTATTTGCTGACAGGGGGTCGGCAGTCTTGCGGGTGGTGCTGGCCCGGTGGGGGCCACTGTCCCTCCCTGTGTCTCTCGTCCTCTGGGCTTCCTCCCCGGTGCCCTCAGGGTCCCCAGAGAGTGAGAGGGCAGCTGCAGGTCCCTGGACCCCCGCATGCTGTGTCCCCACCTTCTGTGGGTCAGAGCAAGTTAGTGGTCACCCTGGATGGGAGGGGGAAGGCAGATGGCCCACCGAAGGGGGCAACGGCCAGGACCGTGGCGGGGGGGCATGCTGGGGGGTGTGCAGCGATGGGAAGAGGCAGTGCTTGGCTTTCCCAGTCTCGCAGAGGGTGAGAGAGCCCTGAGAGGGCGGCGGGGGGCAGTAGGAGCTCTGTCACCAGAGCCGGCCCCTGGGAGCGTGGCCTCAACGATTCACAGCAGCACCCGGGCAGAGGGCCTGCTTGGAAGCCCAGAGGCTGAGAGGACACAGTTCCCCTCCTTGAGGGCTGGCGGTCTAGCTGTCAAGAGAGGTTGTGTCTGTAGAAATGTGAAACCCGACCCAGGGGCCTTGTGGGAAGTGCCGTGTGACCCTCAGGAAATTTCGGGCGCGGGGGAGCACCCCGAAGTCATAGTGGAGAGAGGTTTCCAGCAGAGGCCGACCAGCCTCCTGCCTGGTCTCCCAGGCTCCAGGTTTGCTCTGTCCTACGGGTCACCTCCTCCAGGAAGCCCTCCCTGTTTGCCAAGCAGGAGTGGCTGCCTTCCTTTTAGTTCCTATAGCATCTGCTTTATGTCATATTTCTGGTGCACGCGGGCCGTGTGGAAATGTGGGTTCATGAGTCTCTCTCACCATCAGGCGTCACGCAGGTAGGGCCATGCGGTGTTTATATCTGTATCTCCGTGGCCTGCACATAGTAGGTGCTCGAGAGACTATTTGTTAAATAATATGGAGGCAAAAAACTTGAGTCTAGAGGGATTTGGGGATCAAGCAAAGGTCTCTTTGCCTCTCAGGACGCTAGTACACAGAGGGCATTCGTGATCTCAGATCCTCAAGGAGGAACCAGCCGCCTGTCCTTCGTGGTTTCAGCTCTTACCTTGAATCAGGGCCCAGCCTGTGGTTCTCCAGCATCCTTTAGTTTTGTGATTCCTTGGAAGTACATCGTGCTCACTCCCAGAAATGTGACCTCCGGGTAATCTGCACTCTTGTATTTTAAAGTTTAAACTCAAGGTTTAAACTCACGGTGCTGGAAGACCCGTTTTCTGCTAAAATGCTCTCTGCGTTAACCACTCCCGTGATTAAACAGCCACCAAATGGCATTAAAAGGGTGGTTTAAATAATGATGGGAATTTGCTGCAGGTCTTGTGCAGTTAGAATCCACATAAGCACCTCTCGTTTGTAATTAGAGCGGGGGGGGGGATTTATCAAAATGTGACTTACATTTATATAAACAACCCTTCGACTGGGCAGTAGGGGGCTCCGACTTGCCAGTCACCTCCGCCACCTTCTACCATGCTGCTTATTAAACGGGGTTCTGAGCAACCCGTCTGATGGTCCTCTCCGTTCTTATTTGCAGGATGATGATGGGTCGGTTTGGTAAGTAACCCAGGGGTTGGGGAGAGGGGCTGGGGAGTCTGAGGTCGCCGGGCACTGTGGGGCTGCCCCAGGAAGCCCCCGGGGTTCACGCAGTCACACAGGGGCAGCAGGGCCCTGGGTGGGTTTTGGCATGTGGTTTGCTTCTCAGAGCTGTGGGAGCCTGGTCGGGAATAAGCAAATTACGGTGGAGGGAGTGAACCAGGATAAAAGGGAGGGTGGCGATGTCCCAGTGAATACAGAGCATAGTCAGCTAGCCAGAGGGAGCTTCCTTATGGGATGTATTTTCGTATATAGTTTTCCACCTTAAAATCTCCAGCTTAACAGACCTTAGAGTCAGGCAGCCTTGGCTCTGGTCCCAGCTGGGTGACCTTTGGCCTGCTCCTTCACCTCTCTGTTGCCCATCTGTGAGATGGGACCTCGGGGTTGTTGAGAGGATTTCGTGAGAAAATAAATGTTCACTCTGTTTGGCCCAGGGCCCGACTCTCTCTCTTCGTGTTAGTTTCTCTATTACTGTTACTGTTAGTAATAATAAACTCTTGCTGTTCCCAAAGAACTGTTCCCTGCCCTGTTAAAGACCCACGATCCCATCTTCATCTCAGCGAGGGATGGCAAATAAAGGGGCAGCTTGTGGCAGTGTATAGGCCCTTAGGGATGGGAAGCCCCAAGCTCTTGGCTGCAGCAAGAAGCAGCCTGCGCCAGGCTCACCGCTTTGGGGAATATTTCAAAACAAGAAGCCCTCAACCCCCCCCAGATACCGTGTTCTCCAGGGAGCAGAGAGGGGAGCGTGGCTGTTAGAAGGAAAAGTGGAAACCACATAGAAGATTCCCCCCGTGCCTTGTGAGCCTGCCAGCTGGAGCTGGTCCCTAGCTGCGGGGGCCTCGGGGTGAGGGGTGCACCCCAGAGGCACCCACGGGCTTGGCCACGGGGCCTCTTTGACCTCATGGCGATTATGGGGAAGGATGGCACTGCTGCCCCTCGTGTACAAAGAGGGGATGAGGCTCTTTAGTTCTCAAAGGTCTTGAACCAGAGAAAATGCAGCAATTACATGTCCTTAAGCTTTCTTAAGTAGTTCTTGAGCCGTGCTGGGCAAATTCAGTCTTCACTATTTTTTTAAAGTGGCAATTCAGTTCTTTTTAATGGCTTTATTATTAAAAAACATTTAAAAAGGGAGAGGAAAGGAAGCCTCCTGTGTCCAGTTGCTGAGGGCGCACACAGGGTGGGGAGGGCAGCTCCCAGGGCGGCATGGGGCGCGCAGAGTGGGCGACGTGGGCGGCCTGGCCCTGCCCTGGGTCTGGGCGGGGGCCCATTGGGAGGGGGTGCCTAGAGCACCCTTCTGTCGCTTCCCTGTCCTTTCTGCGTGGAGGGGCTCAGAGCCCACAGAGGCCCGGAGTTGACTTGAGCGGGGCCCTTGGAGCATCTTTAAGTGTTGCTTCGTTTTCTGTGTGTTTTCACTTCCGTGGGCGGCATGGGCCTGGTTTGAGGTTTGGGGGGCTCTGGGAGACTCAGTTCGGCTGGGGGCTGCATGCGGCCTCCCGTGCAGAGGGGTAGAAGCTCGGCCAGGAAGGCTCTGGCAGCCCTGAGGAGGGGCCCCTGAGGGTCTGGCGGACAGGGTGGTGGCTCCTTTTGAGAGCCACCGGAGACGGCTGAGCATCAGGGGCCTGTGACACCCTGAGAAGCCGAGGAGTCTGGAGTCGTTCTCAGTACTTTCAAGGCCGCCCATGCTCGTGAAATGCAAACAGGCAATTAGTGGGTGACAGGCGACTCATCTGCCCCCAGTTTTGGCTTCTGCTGACACAGGCCCCGAGGCCTCCTGGTTACCCAGATATGCGGCAGCTTCCGCTGGCCCTTCTCCCGCGGCAGCCTTTGGGGCCCCCAGAGCCCCACGGCCCTGCTGAGGTTGAGGTCAGACCCCATCACCTCCCTCCGGGGTGCTGGTCCCCCGATGGTCCCTCGAGTTGGTTCCTCTGCACCCCTCAATCTTCTCACTGCCCCCAGCTTGCCGTAAGCTAAAGCCGCAGCCCTTGCCGGGGCCTCCCAGACCCCCTTAGACCACCCCTCCTCTCTGCCCTCGTTGCTCCGCCTGCATGTCTGCCTTTAACTTGGATATCTATAACAGGCTTTTTACTTTGCTCTGACTAGAGCTTCACCACTCTTCAGCTCTTCCTATTAACAGATTTTTTTAAAAAAGAAAATTCAAGCACGTATCAATTCTATTTTAAACTCTTCATCAATAGATTCACTCTCTAGAACCTAGAACATCTGAATTCTACCATACTATCTACCTTTAGAATCCTGAATGATTTTACAAGTTTCATTGTCTTTATTTTATTTTGTTTATTTTGGGCTACGCTGGATCTTCGTTGCTGCCTGCGGGCTTTCTCTAGTTGTGGCGAGCAGGGGCTACTCTTCATTGCGGTGCGCAGGCTTCTCACTGCGGTGGCTTCTCTTGTTGCGGAGCACGAGCTCCAGGAGCGCAGGCTTCAGTAGTTGTGGCACGAGGGCTTAGTTGCTCCCAGCATGTGGGATCTTCCTGGACCACTGCGCCACCAGGGAAGCCCCCCTTTCCAGCTTTTGTACTCTCAGTAGCCTCGGCCGGAAATGCTCTCCCTCTAGATCCCTCCGTGGCTCACTGCCTCAGCATCTCCAGCTCCACTTACCAGGGAGGCCCTCCCTGACCCCCCGGCCTGAATCACCATCCGTCCCCTGGCTTGCCACCCCCCGCCCACCTGCTTAATGATTTCTTTATTCATCTCTTTGCTCACTGGGAGCACTTTGCTTTGCGCCCTGCCTGCCAGGCTCAGGGGGTCTGGACAGTCGGGGACCCTCGTTTGGCCCTTTGCTCCTTCCCTTCACATGTGGCTCCCTGAGCTGTATGCATCCTGGGGGCTGGAGCATGTCTTCCCCGAGCGCATCCCCAGCCCTGGGCCGCACACGTTCCGGGAGCTTCCGAAACAACAGGCAGACCCTCTTTGCTTGGCTGATGTCTGCCCCGGGGCAGGGGTTGGGGGGCCGGGTAGCTTCACTAGGAGCCGAGTTCTCGGCCTCGGTTTCTCACTTTAGCACTCTGAGTGGGGGATGGGGGGGGCTCCACGTTGCACCTCCCCCAGGAGCCCCCTCCCCACCTCCTGTTGGCATCACTGTCCTGGCTGAGGTGGGTGGGAGGCCCTTCTCTCCCCAGGGGAGCTGGGGAGCTGCAGCCTGATCTCCATGGCAACGAGCTTGCCGGCTGCCTCTCCCTCTCCTTCGCAGGCGCCTGTTGGGGAGAAGAGAGGCGCCGGTCTCCTTGTAGCCCCTAGTCTCTCCCCATCACATCTCCCCATTTCTGCTAGCACCGCGGCTGGATCACGCCATTCCTGGTCACCACCCTCCACAGCTGCTCACCCTGTCGATGGGCCCAGCCCTCTTAGCCTCCCCGCTCCCAGGCCTCGCCCCCTGGAACCCACTCTTGGCTTTCTGCTCCCTCTGCCTGGAACGCCCTTGCTCCTTCTCTTGCCCCAGCGAGCCCCGGCTCAAACGTCGCTGCTCCCGTGTGAAGCCTTCCTCTGACCCCGGGCCTGTGTCCACGTCCCCAGGCTCGGGTGCCTCAGAGAGCAGGCCGGTCACACGGAAGAGGGAAGTGGCTGGAATATCGAATGATGAAGGGCTGCCCCTCAGCCTCCGTGTTGTGTGCGGTGGGGAGTTCTGGGGTCTGGGGCAAACGGGGGAGTCTGTGGCCCCCGCTTCCACGGGCAGCTCATTGATCTGGGGGAGGCGGGGGCAGAAGGGTCACTGTTGCGTCAGCTTCCATTTCTTCAAGAGGGTCCAGAAATTCAGAACTTTTGGACAGATCTCCCAATTTAAAAAATGTTGACTCAATCAAAAACTATTTTGTTTGGAGTAAACTAAGCGTCCCTGAAAGTTGAACTTGGGTAGCCACTGGGGTCCCCTGGCTGATTTGGCCGCTTTCTGCATCTTTCAGGCCTTTTTGGTACCCGTGCTTTTGTACTGTCTCCCTCAGCCTGTGCCCCTCCCGGGGGCGGGATGGCTCCCTGTTCACCCCTGTGACTGCGGGGTAGGATGAGAAGGCATCAGTGAACTGAGCATCAGTGACACACCTGCCAGGCAGTGGCTTGGCCCTTCATTCACCATCTTGCTTAATTCTTACACTGACGGTGAGCCTCGGGACTGTTTTCACTCCGGCCTTATGGCGGGAAGCGCTTTGCCTGAGTCACGGGCACCAGGCTCTCAACTGTATCTGTTTTCATTCTCAAGGCCACACACACCGCCGGCCGTGATGCCACTTAGTCCCCCGGGCGCAGGTGAGCGGGGCGCAGGGGCGCTGGCCTCCAGACCCTGCGATGGCTCCCCTGCCGCCCTGACTCTGCCAGCCCAGCGGTGGCCCAGCTAAATATACCCAGCCGACGTCAAGGCTGCTCTCCTGGGGGTTTTCTTAAGCTGCATTCAAAGTTTGTGTTTTGCTTTGTAAAGATTTAGCTTTTCTTCCCCCCTCTTAGCAGACTGTCTTTTTGAGTATAATCTGACTTAGGTGATTATAAAAAGAATTTACAGCTGCTGCGGTAGACAAGCTGGATGAGGGAATTCTGCGGGGCTGGGCCTCTTGGTCGCTGTTGGCCTTTAGGTGAAAGAAGTGGCATGCCCCTCCCCCAAACGCACTCCCCACCCACGTGTTACACGTGTGTGTACACACCGCACACGCCACACACACGCCTTCCTCTTTGTCTCTCACCTTCCTTCCTGCCACCCGCCCCCAAGGCCGAGGAGGCGGCTACCTGGTCTGGGCTGGACGAGGACGTGAGCCGCCTGCCAGGGCCCTGGCCTGTGGATGCTGAGTGCCTGCCTTTTGGGGCAGCCTCGGGGGAATGGCTGGGATGCCTCCTCCAGAAGCCCCAGCTCCGGCTCACCGAGTCCTGACCTGCCTGCTCTTTGCTGTTTCTCCCCACACCCCTCTCCCTGGGTCAGGCAGCGTTGTCCTGAAGCAGGCCCTGGGTTATCTCTGGTTCTGGGCTCCAGCCCCCTCCAGACACGTGGAAGGGTCTTCCTACCCCAGCGCCCCAGCACTCCGTGCTAGCGTTTGGGTCCAAGCCCCAGCAAGTAATAGAGGGCGTCTCTGCTGGCCGAGGTCGTCTGAGCATATACCACCCACAGGCAGCCTGGGGGGATGGGTGGCTCCTTGAGGACAGGAGTGGGGGCCCCAGGGCCTTCCAGATGCCCTCCTCCCCCAGCCCCTCGGGCCTGGCAGTGACTCCCCACAGTGCTGTATCCACCCTGGAGACCTCAGCCCTCCTGCCTGGGCTCCAGGGCACAGTGGGCTCTGCCCCCATGTGACCTGCCGTGGCAGCGTCTGGCTAGAACCAGGCCCCCGGCCCCCAGCCAGCCCTGCTCCTGTCTTGTCCACTGAGAGCTGTGGTGCCTCGGCCTCCCGTGACCTCACAACTGAAAGCGAAGGGGCTGATCCTGTGTTAATTTGGAAGACATGGTTGGGCCCAGGAGTGGCAGTTAGAGTGGGTCTGGGTCCCTGGCAGAAGGAAGGTCCCTGGGACACGGTGGAACGGGTCACTTCAGGCCCTGCAGGTGTTCCAACAGAGGTGGACACCCCGGGGAGAGCAGCTGGAGAGGGATCCTGAGCAGATTTCCTGGCTCTTTCCTTTGTTCTGAGCACTGGCTGTGGGCCCTTCACTGTTCTGGGGCTGGTGACAGTGCAGGGAACAAGTGAGACAGTGATCCTGCCTGCAGGGAACTGACAGTCCAGCAGATAAAGAAAAATAAAATGTGCTCTCAAGTAGCGAATAGGTGCTATGAAAATTGCACCAGGGTAAGAGGACAGATAGCAGAAGTGGGGTGCTCCTTTAGAAGCAGATGGTCCTGGAAGGTCCCTCAGAGGAGGTGACATCTCAGAGCAACCTATGGAGGTGAGGCTGGTAAACAGCAGGTGCAAAGGCCCTGTGGTGGGTGTGTGATGGAGGAGCAGGGGGAAGCTGGTGGGTGGAGTGAGGTCAGGGAGGGCGAGTGTGTTGCGGGGGGAGGTGATGCTGAGCTCACTGGACCCTATGGGCCCATGAGAGAGAGAGTGAATTTTATTCTAAGAGTGATGAGACGCTGGTGGATAGTTTTAGTCAGGGCAGGGATGGGGAGGGGCAAGAAATGATCCAGTTTACACTTTAAGGGGCTCACTCTGCCTGCCAGGGAGAATGGGTGGGAGGGGCTGGGAGTGTAGGAGGGAGACCAATGAAGCAGGAAGTTGTAGCTGCCCACCCCCCCCCCCCCCACCCCCACCCCCGCCCCCGCCCCGGTGAGGGGAGATGGGGCTTGTATGGGGGTGGCAGCCATGACCAGTGGGGGAGGTGGTCAGATTTACTGATAAGATTTACCAATAGGACGAGTGTGGGGAAAGGGAGAGAGGCAAGGACGCCTCAAGTCCTAGGATGTGATGGGGGCGGCTGTCCAAACGCTACCCCCGTATTGTAGGTTGAAAGACAGAAACCAAGTTAGAAGGACCCTTCAAAGCATCCTCCTTGATTTTTTGCTTCTCATCAGCACCCGCCCCTCGGTTCTGGCAGGGATGTA